TAATAATCAGTTCCTGTTCTTAAAAAATATAATATTAATCTATTTTTGTATATGCGGATATATAACTTTAATTACAAATATATATAAAGTTATACAGATACAATATAACTTGATTTCAAAATTATAATTGTTTTGAGATTAAATTGCTAATTTACGGAAAAGTTTAGCAAATTTAGTAGTAGATAGATTTTTTGCAGAATGAATAGAAGCTCGCGTAATTAAAAGCTTAAACAATTAAGCTAATGTTATTGAGATGAATTTGAATTGAGATGGGCGGGTTAAGGACTGTAACAAGGAACTGCAATACCGCCCACTATGTTGAAATTTAGATTCCTCTTGTTTTTGTCTTAAAAAAATGTTTTTATTGCAACTACTTAAATTGCGCTAATAGAAATTTACGAAGCACATTTACATTTACGAAGCTCGTTTAAAAATATTGTACAAATATCTCGTCCACCGTAATGTTTTCAAAAATATGAAAGAAAAATATGGAATTAAAATTTATTAATTTTTTTAATTACAAGTTTAAATTTTGTAGTATTTTTATTGTCCCGGATGTTATCTTGCCATATTTATTTAGTTATAAAAAATTGTACGAAATTCGTGATATGCCTTGTTATTATAATATATACTAATGTGCTAAAGTGAAAGAAAGTTTTTAAAATTCCATTATTTATAATAATTAGGTATTAATTAAAATAAAGTATTTTTAACATAAATAAAGCGTGAAATGTTCATAAAATTTATAAAAAAGAATTTGCTTCTTTGCAGTTTGCCAAATAAATAGTAATTCAATGTAGCCATATCTTACATTTGCTTTAGCATCAAAAATAAAATAGTTAATCAGCATTTTCTTTTTCCGCGTCCAAGAAAGTGTTGTATGTTGCATTAATGAATCCATAAATCATAAAGGATAAAGAAGAATGGTAGAAGGTCGGAATCTGAGTGACGTCCGTCCAGAAAACTCGTTGCCGTTGTGATCCTGCCCATTCGTGAAGATCCATGAAGAGGTAACTTGAAAGGCCAAGGGATCGGGAAACGAAGGAGGTTCTGCTTCTTCTGTAGGACGTTGACGCAGCTCCCGTGGGGCACTTTTGCGGATGAAGACCACCCTATCTCATACTTGACGTAGTAAGAGACGTTTTGCTTTGCCCTCTTATTTTCTTCTGCGCTTTTCGTCTTTTTTTTTTATTCTTTTATCTCTTCTCCGATTCTTCTCAGATTCTCCTTTGTGTTTCCCACATTAATGTAATACCTATATAGTAACAAACAACAAACATCGCATAAAATCCATCATCCAGTCAGATAATATATATTAGTTTTTATGTTTATTTTCTGTTGATACTAAAGTGCTTTGCCGTCATTCTAGAGTTTTTCTTAAATTAATAAAAAGGAATGTGGACAGTAATATTAAACTATAAAACATCATAACGAAGTTTAGAAGGCGCGAGAGATTCCGCAAAAGGCGATCATTTGTCAAAGTGAAGTGGATGCGAACGTGAACATGTTATCGCGGCTTTACCGAGGTAATCTATCGCGCGTCTCCTACAAGAAAGAGATTTTTAGGAGAACGAGAATGTCATGAGGCAGTAAGAAGTTGCGAGAGATTAAACGTAACAACATAACTTTAAAATTATATGACAAGTGTATATCATATTTTTATATATTAGTACGAATTATTTTATGACATTTAGACAAAAATATATTGTAACAATAATTTTTGTACACACATAAGAACATTGAGAATTCTTGCCAAGTCGACTTAGTCCAAATACTCATAACGTGAATGAACACGTGGTTGCGCCATTTTAATTAAAAAGATATGTTTTCGAGGAAGTGTATGTGTGTATATGTGTATGTGTGCGTATATATATTGCGACTTGTGGAGCTACCTATCCATGTATATAGGCATAGGCGGAGACGAGGGGTTGGCAGGCAGTCCAAAGCATTGAAGGGGGTTGGATCGTGATGGCAGGTGGTGGCGAGGGAAGAGGAAGTTGCGATTCCATCTGCCAGCCTGTCATTCTGATACTACGTACAATGTCGGCAGTTGGCGGAGACGATCAATACATTGCAATCTATATAAAATGGCTGCAGTATTTGGAGCGCCGTGCATAAAACGTTTACCTTCGTGGAGACGAGAAATGAATATCGCATGCATACGATAATACGACAAGGTACACAAGTATCCACTGTAAATTTCATAGAAATAATTTCTCTTTATTATCATGTATCTATGAAAATTATAATATTTATTCTCCGAAAAAGCGCATTTTAAACGTATTCTAAACACACAATTTTATATTTTAATATAGAAATAAATTATTCAATTATTTTTTTATAAAGTGATCGCAAAATTTAATAGAAAAATCATAGATAAAAAGACAATTGGTTTTTGTATAATCAACATATGTTATATCATGACAGGAGTAAGAAAATAAAATATATGAATGAGCAACATGCAACATACGTGTACACATATAATTTTTACTATTAAATTACACTAAAAGATGTGTTTTTTATATATAAAATGATTGCAATTTGATAAATAAATTATAGATTATACAATTCATAAAAAATAACACATAATCACACACTATAAAAATAACCGTACATTGATTTGTTTCACCAAAAATTTAATCATTTCATAAGTTAAAAAAGAAAGAATAATTCATTATATTAAAATAAAATACTTATTAAACGTAGCGAATTATAGTTATCCATATAAATAATAATGGTTAAAAAATATTCGATAAAACATTAGTGAAACTTCAAAATTAGTCTTATAATATTATATTAAAAGTATAATGAACATTTTTTAATATTCTGTAAAAAAAGGAAAGCATTTATTTGAAAAATAATTTCCTAAAATAAAAGGATATTTTATTGCTCTACAAATATAAATTATTATGTACTGTTTCTTTTTATAAATACATTAAACAAAACAGGTAATATAATTAAGTAACACCTTAAATTTAATGAAAAATCTATAGAAAGAAGAAATAATTCTCTCAGACATCTCTTTTAATGTTTTATATATATGTTATATCAAAAATTTTTTGTTTAATATATGAAAGTAATATATAGTGTGTATTTGATTTTTATTATTAAATTATTATCTAAATAAAAATTTATTTTTTTAATTAAAATTACAACAATATTTCATGTTTCTTAGAATTACAAATCCAAAAATTAATAATAAAAAAGAAACGTTGTAATATTTCTTATGTTATGAAGTGTAAAAATACAATACATTTAGTGATGAATTTTAAATATATTAAGAACTTTAAAATTGCTTTAAAATATAAAAATGACTATTATAAAAGATTTTGACAATTATGACAAATTATTACAATATAGACAAATAAATATCTATCAAATTTTTTTCCTTCTAAAATACAAAATATTTTATTTTATAAATTTAGTTCTACTTATTCAAAATATAATTCGTCTGATCTTATTTAGTAGAAAAAAAAGTTTTTTTTTCGCAGTATAATTATTAAATTGTTCTACCACAGTGAGACTGTAATATAGTATAGAAGAAAAGCACTATAAATTGCTGCAGCAGCGTCATCTCTTGCATACACTTTGATACTATTTCATAAAGATCACCGATAGGTAGCAGCACTTATGTGTTTCGCCTCTTTTTAAAGAATTAAAATTAATTGTTATAAAAAATTTAAAGAAAAATCCATTCTTTTGCTTTTTCACTCACTCTCTTGCTAATTTTTCAATACACTATTTTAAATAACAATTTAAAAAAGTAAAATATATGGAATAATAATGTTTATTTTATACTACAAAATTTACTGCTGTTCCAAAAATTCTTCCAAAATGCAAATTAAAAATTTCTGTTTAAATATATTTATATATACCTTTTCACTTTTATGATAAATATGTTTTATTACAAAATTAATTCATGTTATTTCTCACGCATCCTCTTATACGATAACACTCATATTATATCACCATATATTTATATAAATATGCACAAAAGTACGCGCACCAAACACGTTATTATTTTTCAATCACTAATTTGTTACGGTTATGCATCCCAGGGTTGGTGTATCACATCAAACTCAATACAGTCGAGTCATTGCGCATAGAAGTAACACGTGATTACAATTAATTGCTTCGGCCAATAAAAATTCGCGGTAAAGCAGGAAAAAGGAAAGAAAGAAGTATACATTTCTCAGCGCGAGACGTAGACCGGCGCAGCGGTACGACTGTACAAGAGGCAGGCCAAAGCGAAACTAACTCAGATTACGTGCAATAAAGGAGATCATTTTGAATCTGTGCCGCTAAAATTTATGACCTCCCACCAGGAGAATTCAGGCCGTTAGTGCTGCGTAGTAAAAACTGGCTATTAATTTTACGTTAGTTGTGCGGCAAGCAAGCGTTTCTTGCAATTTCTATTTTCTATAAGTTCAGAAAAGTAATTTATATCTTTATCTTAGATAATTATGACACTAATTAGTTGCCATGTGAACACTTAAGTTATTTGATCAATGATAAACAATAATTATTGTTAGTTATTTTCAATCAATCGTAATAAAGATTTATAAAGATACTATACTATAATATGTGTTTTCAAAAGACAAAATTTCAATCTTTCACTTTCTACAGTTTTTAGAAGTAGAAAAATCGTATATAGTCAAATTTTTACAAATAAAAAGAAAATCATGCTTTAACTTAAATATATACTTCTATACCTGATTTTTTTCAGCAGATCTTCATTCTAAGATTTCGTCACGAAAGCAGGTATAGTCCTCTTCGCGGTGCGTTCCAGGTGATGTTGACCGTTCGCCGATCAGCGATGTTATGGTGCAAGCAAACGCCGAGGGGTAGTATTGCGGGGGAATGATTTATGACTTTGGGGACCAGGTAGGGCGCCATTCAGCACCAGGCTCGTTCTCTTCTTCCGCCACCTCTCCGACGCTCCCTCTCTTATCCCGGTGACTTGCGATGTCAATGCGTTTTCAGTTGGCCTATTTGCGCAATAGGCATAAGACGAATTTCACGTTCCTCGCGGATGAAACTGTGATTAAAGTAAAACGCGCCAAACTTTTCCTGAGCTTTTGTGTGGTGCAGAGCAGTTCGTAAATCGATTGTCCGTAACTGATTTCTGTAATTATGGAGAAACTACTATCAAGTAAGTATTGCTATTCTACAATATCTCGTAATAGATTTAATTATTTTATATTCTCGGTATATATAAATGTTTTACAGTTAAAATGAGTTCTTATGAGTGTACTAAATATTTGTCAAAGAAATTTAAAAAATATTTTTGAAATACTGATGTATTAATATTTTGATTAAAATATTATGTAACAATGTTTAAACAACATAACAGAATGTATGAATACGGATTGATGAAGATAAGTTTTGTGTATAGCTTAATCATTTTTCAAGTCGAATTTCAATTTATTTTGATGAAGAAATAAATTATATTTACAAAGTGATAAATTATAATATTTGTGCAACAACTATAAAAAGTTGATGTTCGCGTAGATGATACAATACATAACGTATCGTGAGACAAAACGGAGATCTCTTCAACAAAGATATCGAATTCGATTGGCGATGGTGTGAGAGGTTCATCCGCGGGTATTCGGGTAAAACGACAACCGGATATCGCGTTTCTGTAGCGAAGGACGGGCAGGAAATTATCCCGCGGAAAGCTGCGACGGCACAGCACGCACAGTCTGCAATATCCAGGTACACGCGTTGTAATTGATGTAACTTAATTTGTAACACGCGGCATGCGAGATGTTAGTCGTGCTAGCTCTGAGAAGTTAAAAAGAGAATGAAGGAATGCTCGCGCTGGTAGCTTGTATAAGTACCGCGCGCATGCACAGGCTAGGCTTTACGCGCGAGCAACGCAATGGAATAATGGTCAGCCCTATGGGCAACTTTTTCACTTTGCATGTAATAACTGGCGAAGGGCCGGCAAGAGTGAAGAAGGGGAAGCGAGAGAGGCGAAATGCCTCCTATGCGCGCGGAGGAGCAGTTTAATAAAATCTCGTTGGCCTAATGACGAGAGAGCAGAGCTCCGGTAGTCGTCGGGCGAGACAGGGGCGACGATGGGGAACGAGGGATGGACGGAGACGGTAGCAGACCGTCCTGATGGTAGCTTGGTAAGAGAAGGGTGAGAGGAAAAGAGGCAGCCTGGCGGTGAGAAATAAGAGGGGTTGGGACGAAAGAGAGATATCGCCCGTGTCGCATGCGATGCTGCTGTGTAGCTGATGTCTTCGGCCGAAGCTTCGTAACCGGCTGTTTTTATGCAAAGATGCTCATCAGCGCTTTGATCTTTACCGACGAGATAGATATAAGCTTGTAATTTCGGATGTACGACGATATATATGAAGCGAGATTGCAATAAACGCAAGAAAACGCAAGGGAATGCGTCAAAAATGAAAATTCTTGAAAAATTTCTTGAATAAATCTGTACGTTATATACATTGCACTAATAGTTCAACTTTTACTAATTGAACGCAGCAACATGTATACTCTTGTGTCGAATTTTTTAATTGCATTATTATATTATTCTTGTTATTTTTTTTATTAAATCGATTAATATCGAGTGTGATACTTGTAACATTCTATACATTTATTGCATTATTATTTGCTTGAATGTTAATTCAAATATTGAAAAATAATCGTTGTGTTGTTATTGAATTTTTATTTTTCGAAAACTTTCTGATGCTTCATCATTCGTCTTTTCTCTACGCTCGTTGCCCCATTTCCATGATTTTTCTTAACGATTTAAAAGAAAAATTTCAACATCGTATGTCGACCCGGTACGTTGCACTGAAATTGTTAGGGAAACGAAAAAAGCTGGAGGGAAAAGAGGGAAAAGACAGACGCGGAGTCAAGGCACAGCAGCAGCTACCCCGAACGATCATCAATCATCAAGAGCGAGACAATCGAATAGTGCAGCCAACCGGTGAACAGCTGTCGCTTCGGTGGGCTCTAACCGTACACGTTACACGTTGCTACTGCAATTTCACAAAAAAAAGGGCAAAAGACATTGTAGAAAATCAATTGCATAAATAGTATTGTTATTATACACTTAAAATATAAATAAAAATTCATTTCTGATGAGTTATTTATAAAATAAATACAGAACATAGCAGACATCCGTTATAATGCAATCAAAAATATGAAGGAAATATAAAAATAAATGTGTGTTAAGATTATTTATTATTTAGTTCATTTTTAAAAATAGCAACGTATTAAATAATAGAAACATATAACGAAAGTCGGGCTGTGAAAAACAATATAGTTGTATGAAAAATTAAAAACTCACTCATTTTACCTTTCAATCTTTTATAATTTATTTTCCGGTATGCTTCATACGTCGAGCATTATATATCTCAACGAGCTCGATCCTCCTCGCATCGCATCACATCATATCAGAACGCTACCATCACATGCCGACATCCTCCCTACGTGTTCCTATATTGCCTGCTACGTTTCATAAATAACTCTCATATTGCAAAAAGTACAATTTCAATATTAGAACCGATGGGCATGCCAATATTGCTCGTTGTATGATAGATAGACGAGCTATATTGTCTTTATAAAAAGCTAGTCGTTTCTTTGAAAAATATGTACTGAATATAGCTTTAAGGAATATTTATTCGAAATAGAGTGAGTATCGAGCTGTATTCATTTACGTGTCTTGTATATTAAAAGTTAAGGTTTTATTGTAAGATTTTTACATGTGTGTTAAAATAAGTTTTATTTACACACATTTTGTGATAAAACAAAAAGTTTTCATTTATCTTTTAAAAAGTGTCACTGTTGTAGACACATTGCTCTCTTATACTTATTGAAATATACTTGCTATTTTATTGTACAGTAAAATTCAATATATTGTTAACTTTAAATGTAAGAGAAGAAATATTTCTATAAAGTAAATAATTATTTAGATAAATTTAGTAAAAAAGTTTAGTACTCAAATAATTTGAAAATATAAGAAACAAGATACAGAAAGTCCTATATTCTATATATATCTATATGGGTATCTTTTAATTGATGCAATCAATATTTATTCGAAAAATCTTTCAGTTATAGAATCAATAATATTAATTTATACTAAATAGAAAACTTTGAATTTATAAAATTTGAATAAACTGAACAAATTTGCTAAATCTAACGTTAGTAAGGTAGTTTACTGCAGAGAGAAGTTTCATTTACCGACACAAGAAACGTTGTCTTAAAGTACATTTATAGACGATAGATGGAACTGAGAAAAATATTTTTTCACAGCTACTTTTCCAAGTAAGAGCATTTTTTCAATTATAATTATACGTATAATGTTAAATTGTGCTAATTGTACTAAATTATTATGTAATTGTATTATTCATGTATGAATGTGGATCTATAGAACCTAAATCTCACATTTTCTCTAGCTATTTAATTTATTCATGTAATTAATCTGCAAATGCAAATTAATTAGCTTTTGATAATCCGCTGATTATTTATACGAAACAATTAATCGATGCATTATCCCAGAATTACAACTCTAAATGCATGCACATATATATATATATATATATATATATATATATA